TTTTTTTTATTCTTAACAATTATCCCATATTACAGTAAATCCAAAGTAATGGAAAATCAATATCGTGGGAGACACATTGACAATAAAGTATTGCAAGTGATTCAATCCAACATGAAATTCGGGGAGCTCTTTGAATAGATCACAAGAGAAAATGCAGACCTTCTTGGGCAACTTGGTACAGCATGTTTTGGATACATGTAAAATCAAAATATACTGATCCAAATTCAAAGTTCTCTCTCCATTAATGAAAAAAAATAATTCCATCCACAGAACACTTTAACCGCATAACAGTTTCTACAAATCAAGCTGAACCCAGGGGCATTAAATATGTTTGCCCTTGCCTCACCAGTCGGGCTTGTGCTGGATTGTGAGTTATACTTTCAACTCCTCCCGATTAGGAGTTGAAACATCGGTAGTCCTGCTCCAGAATGAATACGTTCTCAGAGAGGTTCTGTTTTTAAATAGGAAATGCTGGACCGTTGATGACAGAATTCTGCGACTACACCGGTGACGCAGAGAGATGAGACTGCTGTCATGAAGTGATGGCGGACTTGTGTTCGTGTCCTCCACAGCACGTCCTCCCCAAGACTTCTGTGTTAGATCACCCAGTAAAGAAAAGAGACACCTCCAGGGTAGCATGACCCACTGTTACCTATGAAAACAACAGCACCAGCGGTGGAGTGGACATGTGTGACGTCATGCTGAGTTTCCACAGGGTGGGGCTTTGCACTAAACATGAAATATTTCCGTCTGTTGCCAAAAGGGGGAGAGGTCGATTATTTCATCACGCCCAAGATGCATGAAACGCAAAAGACGTACCGATAATGAAATAAAATGTAAAACACATTTAATGATAATTAATGTGTTGGGAAATGGGGATGTTTGTGGTCTTTGGTTGGTGTTTGAAGAGTACAAGTGTATGAATTTCACAAATAAAACACAGATTAGATTTTGTGCAACAGACAGTTGGAGAGTAGGCAGAGACTGAGAGTTAAAAGAGATCTTGGCTAAAAACTTTTTTATATTAGATGTTTGCCGACTGAGAAGAAAATAAAACTGGTAACTGTGATCCAACATCTTAAATGTTTTAATCCTCAAAATGCACTCCTGAATACACAATAGGTTACAGAACAATTTTTAGTATATGGTGCTATTCTTCATTGTGATGCAGTTACTCTGGTCGCATTTATTCAATTTGAGTTCCAACGCCCACTAAAGTATGCATACAATCTACATACAATGTAACGTAATTGATTTGTTGTTATTATTAGCGGTATGCTTATTTCACCCCAAATACAAAGATCAGTAAAACATTTTTCCAATTAAAAAAAAACACTTTCTTCGCTGGGTCTAAACTGGCAAAATTGTTATCCTGTTTGCTACACTGTGTATGTGTACGTGTCTGTAATCTCACCACAGTTACCTAGATCTCACGCAGGAGGAAGATTGCTGTTAGTAAGTAACCAGGTAAGTCTCAGAGAAACTGAGCTTTCCGTGTTGTTTTCTCCCTAGCCGTCGCTGTCCAGGTCTAGTCATGTCTAAAGTAAAAACGTCCAGCCGGCCTGGCCAAAAGTTACCCTCATCGACTCGGACACCGTTTTCAGTTTTTACATATCGGGTTTTATTAAATGGCACCCGGAGAGCACATGGTATTAAAGACCCTAGAGTGCAAAGGAAATAAAAGGAATCCTATT